TAATTGTTCCTGTAAACCCTTCACCCCTTTCCCCCATTATTCCTTACCCTCTCCCCTCTCATCAGTGTCAGAGTGGTCTCAATTTCTATGCCTTTGGCTACACTCTGCTCGCTTGCTTGTTTTGTTGATTAGGCTCCCGTCAGTGGTGAGATCATATGGTATTTGTCTTTCATCACCTGGTTTATTTTGCTTAGCGTAATGCTCTCCACTTCCATCCATGCTGCCCTGAAGGGTAGGAGCTCCTTCTCTCTTTCTTCTGCATGGAATTTGTTTGTGTAAATGTACCGTGGTTTCTTGACCCATTCATTTACTGATGGGCACTGGGTTGCTTCCAGCCCTTGGCTATTATCAATTGTGCTGCTATGAACATTGGGGTGCATAGGTTCTTTTGGGTTGGTGTTTCAGGGTCCTTAGGATATAATCCTAGCAGTGGAACTGGCGGGTCAAAAGGCAGTTCCGCTTTTTTAGTTTTCTGAGGAAATACCATGCTGTTTCAACAGTGCTTGCACCACTCTGCAGTCCCACCAACAGTGCACTAGAGTTCCCTTTTCTCCACACCCTCCCCAACAGTTGTTGTTTGTTGCTTTGTTTATGACGGCCATTCTGACCAGTGTGAAGGGATATCTCACTGTGGTTTTAATTTGCATGTCTCTGATGGCTAGTGATGATCAGATTCCTTTTATATGTCTCTGGACCCCCTGTATGTCCTCTTTGGAGAAGCATCTGTTCGAGTTCTTTGTCCATTTATTAAATTGGATTGCTTGTCTTCTCAGAGTGGAGTCGTGTGAGTTCTTTATATGTTTGGGAGATCAAATCCTTGTCGGAGGTATCATTGGCAAATATGTTTTCCCATACACTTGGTTCTCTTTTCATTTTAATGCTATGTACTTTAGCGGTGCAGGAGCTTTTTGTTTTGATAAGATCCCATTTGTCTATTCTTTCCTTTAAGTACCTTGCTCTAGGGGACATGTCAGTGAAAATATTTATTGCTGTGTAGAATATTTGAGATTTCCCTGCCTATGTTCACTCCCGTGGGACTTTCAATCTTTTATCCACCTTGAATTTATTTTTGTGTCTGGTGTAAGTTGGTGCTCGAGTCTCTCTCTCCCCCCCCCTCTCTCTCTCTCTCTCTCTCTCTCTCTCTCTCTTTTTGTTTGCATAGAGCTGTCCAGCTCTCCCAACACCATTTGTTGAAGAGGGTATGTTTGCTCCATTGTATGCTGCTGTCCCCTTTGTCAGGTATTAATTAACTGTAGAGACTTGGGTTTATTTCTGGGCTTTCTCTTCTATTCCATGGGTCCATGTGTCTGTTCTTATGCCAGTACCAGGCTGTTTTGATTACAGTGGCCTTGTAATATATTTTGATATCAGGTATTGTGATTTCTCCTACTTTGCTCTTCTTTGTCAAAATTGCTGCAGCTATGTGGGGTCGTTTATGGTTCCAGGTAAATTTTTGAAGTGTTTGTTCTGTATCTGTGAAGTATGCCTTTGGTACTTGAATAGCTACTGCATCAAATCTATCAATTGCTTCAGGTAGTATGGACATTTGGGCGATATTCATTCTTCTGATCCATGAACACGGTGTATGCTTCTATTTGTTGGTGTCTTCCTTAGTTTCTTTCTCCAGTGTTGTGTAGTTTTCTGAGTACCAGTCTTTGACCTCCTTGGTTAGGTTTATTCCTAGGTATTTTGTTTATCTTGTTGCTCTATTAAATGAGGTTTTTTCCCCCTGATTTATCTTTCTGATATTTTACTGTTGGTATACAGACACGCCTTTGATTTCTGGATATTGGCTTTGTATCCCCCTGGTTTGCCAAATTCATTTATTAGGTCGAGCCGTTTTTGGGCTGAGTTTATAGGGTTTTCTATGTACCCTGTCATGTCATCTGCAAACAATCACGGTTTTGTTTCCTCTTTGCTAATTTGGATGGCTTTTATTTCTTTTTCTTGTCTGATTGCTGTGGCTAGGACTTCCAATACTATGGTGAATAGCAGTGCTGAAAGTGGACAACCTTGTCTTGGTCCCGATCTTAGTGGGAACGATTTAAGTTTTTGCCCATTGAGTATGACATTGGCTTTTGGTCTCTCATATATGGCCTTTATTATGTTGAGGGATGCTCCTTCTATTCCCACCTTGCTGAGTGGTTTTTTTTTTATCATAAATGGGTGCTGTATCTCATCAGATGCTTTTTCCACATGCATTGATACGATCATGAGATTTTTTTATCTTTGCTTTTCTTTACGTGATGTATTATGTTTGTTGATCTGCAAATATTTTACCACCCTTGCATCCCTGGGATGAATCCCACTTGGTCATGGTGGATGATCTTTTTAATGCATTACTGGATGGGATTCGCCAATATTTTGTTGAGGAGTTTAGCATCTATGTGCATCAGTGATATTGGCCAGACATTTGCTTTCTTTGTTGTGTCTTTATCTGCTTTGGGGTTTAGGATGATGTTTGCCTCATAAAAAGAGTTTGGGAGTTTTCCATCATCTTGGATTTTTTGGAATACTCTGGGAAGGATAGGGGTTAGGTCTTCTTCTAATGCTTTGTAGAATTCTCCTGTGAAACCATCTGGTCCAGGGCTTTTGTGTGTCGGGAGATTTTGGATTACTGCTTCAATTTCATCAGCTGTTATTGGTCCATTCAGGGTTTCTGCTTTTTCTCCATTCAGTTTGGAAAGGTTATGTATTTCTAGAAATTTGACCATTTCACCTAGGTTTTCAAATTTCTTGACATATAGTTCCTCATAGTACTTTCTTTCAATTCTTTTTATTTCTGTGGTATCAGTTGTAATCTCTCCTCTTTCATTTCTGATAGTGTTTATTTGGGTCCTCTCTCTATTTTTTCTGGATGAGCCTGCTTAAAGGCTTGTGGATTTGGTTTACCTTTTCAAAGAACCAGCGTCTGGAGTTATCGATCCTTAGAATTGTGCTTTTGGTCTCTATGTTGTTTAATTCTGCTCTGGTCTTCGTTATTTCCTTCCTTCTACTTGCTCTGGGCTGTCTTTGTTGTTGTTCTTTGAGCTCCTGTAGATGCAGGATTAGGTTGTTTGTTTACAACGTTTCTTTCTTTCTTAGGTAGGCCTGTAATCACTATGCACTTCCCTCTCCGGACTCCCTTCGCGTGTCCCATAAGTTTTGGTTCGTTGTGAGTTCATTTTCATTTGTTTCCAGGAACTTTTTGACTTCCTCTTGGACCTCCTTCTGGACCCATTGATTGTTGAACAGCATACTTTTTAAGCTGTATGAGTCTGAGTGTTTTTGAGTTTTTTCCTTGAGGTTGGTTTCTACTGTCAGTCCCTTGTGGTCAGAGAAAATGCTTGATATGATTTCAATTTTCTTGAATTTGTTGAGGCTCGTTTTGTGACTTGTCGTGTGGTCTATGTTTGAAAATGTTCTATGTGCATTTGAAAAGAATGTATGTTTTGCTTCTTTTGGGATGAAAGCCTCTCTATGTATCTGTTAAGTTCATTTGATCTAGGACATTGTTCAATGCCGCAATATCTTTGTTGATATTGTGTTTGGAAGATCTGTCCATCTTTGACAGTGGCGTGTTGAAATCCCCTACTGTAATTGCGTCGCTGTCAACATCTTTCTCGAACTCCTCCAAGATTTTCTCTATGTATTTGGGTGCTCCTATGTGGCCTGCATATATATTTACAATGTTTATGTCTTCTTGATGGATTCTTTTTTCTGGAGTGTTATGAAGTGATCTTCTGGGTCTCCTTTTTATGGCTCTTTTGTGTTTTTGAAGTCTATTTTGTCTGATATGAGTATTGCTATCCCGGCTCCCCCCACCCCCACAGTTCCATTTGGTTGGAAAATTTGTCTCCAGCCCTTTACTTTTAGTCTGTGATGGTCTTTTGTCCTGAGGTGGGTCTCTTGTAGGCAGCATATGCGTGGTTCATGCTTTCTTATCCATTCAGCTATTCTATGTCTTTTGATTGGAGCATTTAATCCATTTCTGTTTAAGGATGTTGTTGATAGGTACTGATTCATTGTGATTTTTTCGTACCTGTGCTCCTCTCTCTCTCTCACTGTTTTCCTTCCTTTTCTTAAAGCAGTCCCTTTAGCATCACTTGCAGAGCTGGTTTGAGAGAGGTGTATTCTTCTTTTTTTCAACACTGTATCTTTTATTGGCGCATACATAATGTACCCACAAAGTAAGCCCTTGGCAAATGTTTGCTGAATGGCCAAATGATTCCCAGGGTACATTGTCAGCTCAAAGTCCAAATACGGGGTCTCGGGCTGGTAAGTTACCTAGCCTTTGATCAAGCAGCTTCCCCTGAAAGCGCTGTGTTAGAATAACAATCCCACACATCAGATTTCTGTGGACATATAGTCCAACCTCTAGCTCCTCTCTCCACCGCGATCACAGCAGTCAGATAACGTTCAGGAGTTTATTAGTGAAATATCAGAGGCATTCAGCTCACGTGACAGAAAGGAGACTGAAAGTGTCCCTTCAAGCCAAGTCGGGGCCTGGCCTTGACCTCCCCAGAAGGACAATAAAGTGGGGTTAACAACAACATTCTCTGGCAGCCACCTTGCCAGGGCATGGCTGTGTCAGCCGGAACTGTCTGCCACCCCCAAACAAAGGTGGGGAGCAGACAAAGACTGTTTATAGAATCAATGCAGAGGCTGTATGAAAACTGTAGTAAGAGCCGGAGGGAGAGAAAGTGAGAGGCGGGGAGGACCTTCTCAGAGGCCCAGGCTTTTGACTCCAACCACCTCAGATACATTGACCAGTAGTTCTACAAAATGTTACTGAAAAGGTAAAATGCCTAATGTTTTCAAGAGTTCCCCTGGACTTTGCCCCACATCACATTGTCAGATGTACGTGGCAGAGCCCAAAGGCCACATTATTGAAGAAAGAAAAACAAGAATAAGCCCTGTTGTTCTTTAAGGAGAGACGAAAGAGCTGAGGGCGGCTGGGACCTTTCCCACGGAGGCCTGTGTTCTGTAAAGCCACTTCCCAGCAGCAGCCTGGCATAGCTCTAGGTGAGGGTCTTACCCTTTGTCACCCGTGCTTCTATGTACTCTATTCTCTGTTCGAGGGCTGTCAATTTCTCATTCAGTGTTGCGAGCCTTGAAGGACAAGACATGTCGAACGAGTTGAGAAAGTCCACGATTTTCTTGATGCTTCTGGCGATGAGCTCAGTGTACTCCCGATTCGCCCAGTCCTGGTGAATTTCCAGCTGCACCGGATCCTCCTGTCCAGCCATGGCTGCCGCCTAAGGAAGGAGGTGTATTCTTTTAGACTTCTTTTGTCTGGGAAGCTCCTCATTTGGCCTTCCATTTTAACTGAGAGCCTTGCTGAGTAGAGTCATCTTGATTGCAGGTCTCTGGCTTTCAATACTTGGAGTGTTTCTTGCCATTCTCTTCTGGCTTGGAGCATTTTCACTGAGAACTCAGCTGCTAGCCTTGTCGGGGCTCCCTGGTATGTTACTTCCTTTTTCTCCCTTGGTGTCTTTAAGATTCTCTCTTTGTCTTGGAATTTTGCCACTTTAATGATGATGTGTCTTGAAGTGGGCCTCTCTGGGTTCCTCTCGACTGGGGCTCTCTGTGTTTCCTGGGTTCCTATGACTTCTTCTCTCATCAGATCAGGAAAGTTTTCCATCATTACTTTTTCAAATAGGTTTTCTATGCCTTGCTCTTCTTCTCCTCCTTCTGGCATCCCTAGGATGTGGATATTGTTAGGTTTCATGTTGCCTTGCCGTTCCCTTACCACCTGCTCATTCTTTCTGAGTCTCTTTTCTTTTTCTTGCTCTATCTGGGAGTTTTTTTTGTTTTTTACCTTGCCCTCCAACTCCCTGATTCGATCCTCTGCTTCATCCAGCCTGCTTGTAATTCCTTCTCATGTGTTTTTTTATTTCTGAGAGTTTATTGTTCATTTCTTCCTGGTTTATTTTACAGTTTCTATTTCCTTTTTCATGCTGATGGAGTTCTCACTGCGTTCCTGGTAGTTGTCTGTGAGGTCCCTGAGCGTCTTTGCAACCATGCATTTGAACTCTATATCTGCTAGTTTGGTTACTTCCAGTTTGTTTATCTCCTTTTGTGGGGAGGCTTCCATTCCTTTTGATTTCGTGTTCATTTTGTCTCCCCATTTTAGCTGACTCTTTTGGTTGTTTCTGGGCTTTCTGATGTTTCGCTTTGTTAGCTGTCTTTGTAGGCGGAACTTCAGTGGTAGGAATTCTATGAGGTTCAGTGGTGTGGTCTCTGATCTCCTTGACTGGATGCTCTAGGTTTGCCCTTTCTTCCGTTTGTGTGGGCTCTCTGGTTGTCCTTGGGTTTGTACCTTTTGGTGGTTCCCTTGTTGGTGGCTTTGGTCCTCCAGCAGGTATACTGATGTTCACAGCACCCACCTATTCTTGGATGTGAATAGTGGCAGGGGGTAGGCAAAATGCCTTAAGACAGCTGGAGAGTGTTTTATGGGATTTAAAGTACCAGCAAGAAGAGAAGAGATTGGAGATTGTGTGGATAAGTATAGGATTAACTGTGCTGTTTCACCCCATTAGCCCCTTTTGATAAAAGGTGAGAGAGAGATAAGACTCTTGTTAGAGGGGAGGGTGATTGTGAGTCGAATCCAGAAAACAGAGTGCTTGTGCAAGGTTAGATGATGAGCTACAGTGAGACTAAAGGATAGGAAGTAGGCGTGGTGTGAGAGAGGATAGAGTCGACCATAATGATGACCATAATAGAGTTGACCATGATAGAGTGGATAATAATAATGATGCTCAGGATTAAAGTGAAGTGGGCTAAGACCATGCAGGGCTGCCGTGTAGTATGTACAATTGTAGGGGACAACAATTATTTACAATAATTGTTGTAAATAATTATAGTACTGGAACAACAATAATAGGACAAGAAGTAAGTGACTCAGATAAGCAGGATAGAAAGTACCCAGTCAAGAGTTGTGTGTTATGGGAACATGGGTGAAGGGAAAGAAGGAAAATAAAAATACAATACAGAGAGCATATGGAAAATCAGTCACGCAATGCAAGTCAGTAGGGAAATAAAACGAGGAATACGACACACAAGGAAGAAAAATGTAAAATACTGATAAAATAAAAGTGGTAAAAATAATTCGAAGATAATAATAACACACATACACGACACCATGCCAGCCATGTGGGACAGCAAAGTGACATTTGTCTCAGTTTCTTGGTTTTGGGGGTTAGCCTTATGCTCTCCCTTTTGATCTGTCTCTGGACCCTTGGTAAGTCTGTGTCTTATCACCTCAGTGGGAAGAAGAAAAAAAGAAAAAGAAAAAAGGTGGTGGTGGTGGGGTGCAGGAAGACAGAGGATCCAAAAAGAAAAGGGAAACCATAAAGATAATAATAGGCCTCCTGCTGACGCTAAAGCTGTTCAGCGAGTTCTGCTGGTCTTCCTAGATGCCCCAGGAAGAGGGGGCTGGGCTTCTCTTTCCTCCCTTCCTTTGGTTCTGAGAGGATGGGGACCAGGTTTGGGCCGCACTGTTCACAGTTTCCCGGCCTCTGGCCCAGGTGTTCCGTGAGCTGCCAGGCTGTAGTCAGCCACTCAGCTGCTCACGGTGTGAGTCCATGTCCAGCACAGAACCCAAGACAAGTGGGGTGCAGGGGTTCCCTGTCCTAGTGTCTCTGGGCGAGCCGTGCCAGACGAATGGGGTGTGTGGTTCCCTTACTACTGTCTCCGGGGTACGCTGTGCCAGACAGGTGGGGTGCACGGTTTCTCTCTGCCACTCACTCTGGGCACGCACAGCTGCAATGTCCCTCAGGGCGCACCAGCCACTGCTGGAGAGTTCCTTACAAAGCAAGCTGCCTGCCGTTCTTAACAGACACATGGCTTTTTGCACAGCCCCACTGTCTCACCAGTGTGGACACTATCCAAGTCAGGGTCCAACACGGACCGTCTCCTCCCTTCTCTAGGTGTCGCTGGCACCCCAATTTCTCTGGTGCCCGTGTCCACGCTCCCAGCGGGTGTGTGCCGCCTCTGTGTGTCTCCCACTTTGTCTCTATTCCCCCAGCAACTTCCAGCACCCAGGTCCGTCCTGGTGCCCGGCTGCCCTCCCTGCTCTGGTAGGGGAGGGAGCTGGTGCTCTAACTCTCCTCCCTGTATCCTGCAGCAGGCCCTGGTCTGGAGGCCGCAGCAGCCTTGCTCCCTGCACAGATCCCAGGACCTGACCATCCCAGCACACTCCCCTCACTGTCTGTTTTTCAGTGTCCTCTGCAATCTTTTGACTCCAAACTTCCTATGAGCTGGCATTCCGTTGGCAGTTCACTCTGTTTCCTCGGATGGGCTAGGTGTTCCCCCCTGGGCACAGGGAGAACCGGGATCCACTGCCATCTACCTCGCCGCCATCTTCCCCGTCTCAGCTCTTTCTTCTGTATACAGCAAACGAAGAACCCAGAGTGTGCCTATGGGAAGAAAGGGAGGTGTGAACAGATAGCGTTTTCAAAGACCCTAGTCATCCTGAGGCCAACTCCCCCCCAGGAGGGTTTGTGTGCTGCTTCAGGCTGACGCGGGTCAAAAGTCAGAAACCCAGGGGAAGGAGAGGGCCTTAAGCAGAGTCTGATTGCCAAGGATTTTGCTGCTGTTGTTCCGTGGGCACTAGTAATTCACCTAGTCGCCCGTGAATCGAGCAATGGGAATTGGAGGGACTGTGTCTGGGTTTGGGCTAGGTAATCCAGGGTGGGCGGCACCCATGAACCTTAACCTCAGCCCTATGGGAAGGGACGCTCCTTGCAGTGAGCCACTTCCTGGAACACAAAGTGGAGGCCTCCTCAACTTCACTGCCATCCAGGACCACTGGTCTGGGGCCAAGGTCAACATCATCAGTCCACACCAAACCCTGCACGCCGATCTTTAGAGCACCTGTAGCCGAGATCGCCGAAAAACAATCTCGGGAAGCATCCGAGATGAGTGTCGGGAGGTGACCGAATGAACAATCTTTCCATCCCTGCAGTGGAGTGTCATTTGGCAAAAGAAAGGAATGATCTTCCAAGACACGGAGGCACACGGATGAATCTGCAACACATACTACTAAGCGAAAGCGCCCCCTCAAAGGGCTATATGTACTACGGGATCCAGTTACAAGAAATGGTGTCAAAGGCAAAAATGGAGATATTAAACAACTGATCACAGTGCTCGGCGGGAGCACTGAGTGGGAACTTCCATAGGTAAAGCACAGGTAGTGTTTCAGGGCGGTAAGGAACATGTATGCTTGAGCCGGGGATGTGGACAACTGCGTGGAAATTGCCTGAGGGCGTGTGGGGGCTGGGTGCAGGGGAGCACAGGGGGAAAGTGGGACAACTCTAGTAGCATGAGCAATCAAATATAATGTAAAAATCTTTGGGGGCAGTAATCCCCTCGTGCCTGATAACATAATGGCGGTCACAGGACAGTACGGATTGATCAAAGTCCTTAGTGATTTGCAGCACAAAGATGGAAAGTTACTGTATGCTAAGTTGAAACATATCACTAAGGACGTCAGGGGGTACTATGATGGACTTCAGAATGTAAAACAGGAATCTAACCAGAAGACAAATGTGTAGAAAAACTGCACTGAAGAGGGGAGGGGAAGGGAAAGAGTGCTGAGCGAGGCACCTTTGGAAACGAAAGAAATCCCTAAGGCTAAACAGGAAAGAAAAGGAACATATGCAGCCTCCCTGGTGGACAGACTTTTCACCGATGGTCGTAGAGGTTAAGAGAACTAATAGCACTGTGTGTGTGTGTGGCGGAACTGGACGAGTCAGGGAATGGGTGCTGGAAGGTGAGAGGCAGGGTCTCTCACTGCTGGAGTGGGGGCTTACAGGTAATAAAGGGGCAGAGGCAAGAATGGCCCACACAGTGGTTGCATTGCAGTCATCGGGATGAACGCATGTTGATGGTAGTAGAGGGATTGATAATTGCTATAGAAGGGGTTTATGCAAAGGGAAATGCCCATGAGTTAATACACACATATATATCGCCTGGCTTGTCAGCTGAGCGTGCCAGCTGCCACTTTATCCGGGCAGCTCGAAGACAGCTGGTGCACAGATTCTGAGTTCCGATGCCACTTCCTAATAAAAGGAAGCAGTGTTCCTTGGACAACTGGCTGATTCTCAGAGCCTGGAAACGTGCGAGATGAGGCTGGCACATATGGGAGAGGGAAATGTGCAAGACAAACCAGGAAGCCAGGAATCCTTCCAAAGAAAACCCACCCAGTGGGTGTTCGGGTGGTCGGTGACTGGGGCTGTGAAAGAAT